CAACTCTTGTAAATGACTGGCCCTGTGCTTTATTTATAGTCATTGCAAATGCTGGTACAACAGGTATTTGTATCCTTGTAAATTTGAATGGCCAATTTTGTTCTGTAGGTTCGAATTTGAATTTTGGAATCACAATTCGTTTATCATTTGTTGTGAATTGACATTCAATGGAATGTTCAAATAGTTTTGTAATAATAAGGCGTGTTCCATTACATAATCCCATGGAAGGTTGAATATTTCTCAAAAGTATCACTATCGATCCAACTTTAAGAAGTAATTCATGTGGAGGAAGTCCAGAAGGACACAAAGTGTTCAAGAATTCTATTGTAACAATGGCAGCCTCTCCTTTTTCGGAGTTATTTGAATCGACACTTTTGTACAATTTTTGTGGTTTATCAAGTTTTGATAATATTTTGGTGTTAATTTCATTGACCGCTTTGTTTGTAGGTATCAATATTATGCGTTCTGACAACTCTTCAGGCGTCAACTAATTGATATTATTTCCAAACACTTCATTAATAAGATCATGACTCAACATGTTTTTTGGTATTTCAACATCAACCAATTCTCCATTTCCAATTGAAAGAAGCCACTTGTTGAATTTAATTTGTCCTTCACTTCTCATGTTTGTTGTAAGTTTCAATTTTTTGAATTCTTTCCATATATAAGACTTTTTTACACAACAATCAATGATTTCCGCCTTTGACCCAAATGGTACAACGGGTAAAGTTTGACGAAAGTCACCACCCAATACAACAACCTTTCCTCCAAAAGGCATATTGTTTCCCATGACATCTTGTAAATATTCGTCAATAGCCATTAACACACGTTTTGGTACCATTGATATCTCATCAATAAGAATCAAATCCACAAACACAAAAGGTTCTGCATCAGGTCCTTCAATAGATAAATTACATTTATTTGTTTCATCGCAATTTAATGGAAGCTTAAAAGTACTATGAAGAGTCCTTCCACCCTTTATCAACGTTGAAGCAATCCCACTAAAAGCAAAAGTTTTGACCGACTTTGAAAGTGTCAAAGCTTTATCAATCAAAACGTTATACAGAAATGTTTTTCCCGACCCACCTGGTCCATCAACAAAGAAACATTTACATTCATTGGATTCTTCATTTAGTGCACGCATTATTGTATCATAAGCCGTTCTTTGTTGTTCATTTAATTTGTTAATTCTAGAATCTACTTCTTCTTCAAATGGTACATCATCCACATTGACAATAGTATCTACATTTTGGTCAATTATCGAGCTTAAATTGAAGCCGAAATTCAAAAGTGATTTTTCACTTTCTCTAAGCATGTTCTCAATTTCTATTAAAGCTGATATATCGGCTTCTTTTTGACTTCTCCCCTCTTGTAGAAAATTTTGAGCCATTTGAATGTGATATTTATCCCATACAGACAAAGCATCAAATGTATTATTAATCGTACATACAAACACAAAAAGTTCTCTTAATTGATGGGGCATTTCCATCTCTATAGCTTCTGAAAATGTTTTGTCCCACTCATCTTCACTGTCGATTAATCCTCTACTTTCGCATGTATCTTTTTTCAATGTGTTGTTTAATTTCGTCGTTTTCAAACATTTTCAAAGAAGCGGCATCACTCCCTATATAAATATATTTTTATATATATTTAATTCCTTGAACACCACTGCAGCATTCCACATTTATATGAGCATTAAACCTTTTCAATAAATATGGATTATATGGCACTACCATACTATTGTCAACTTTCTTCCCTCGAACAATAACTGGCGCACATTGACGTCTTTGATACTTAGGAAATCCATTTGTCAATATTGTTTCATTGCAAAATTCCTTTGGAAAATGCTTAGAACAACCCTTTTCTGACATGCAAGGGGCTTTTGGGTTATCTGTTCCACATTGTCCATGTACCATAAACGTTTTTACCAACTCTTGCGTTTCTTGGTCTTGACTGAATTCGGCAGAAATTGTGGCATTGACGCTCTCTGGATCTTTAAGTTTATAGTCATTAGCAAGAACAACTAATATATGTGAATGTGGAAGACCTCTTTTTTGAAATTCAATAACATACACCCACGCAATTACAGTTCCAAAAATCCCATCATCTGTAATATGCTTTAACAGGTAATTCATTTTCAAATGAAATACCCTGGATACTATATCAGGACGATCAATTGCTTCTTCACCGGGTTTTAAATTTTCAACAATTTCTTGCCACTTGGGATTTGCGGTAAATGTAATGAAAAGATCAGGAAGTCCAAAGTGTGAAAAAATAGACATCGCATCAGCACATTTTTGGTGCATATTTCTTGGAGAATTTGGAAAAGTTGAAGGAAGAATTACCCGTTTGCCTTTGGCCTCTTTGTTGTTATTGCCATCATTCATTTGGTCTTGTAATTCACAATACAATTCACTCTTCAACTTTGGTTGGTGAGATTTTATATAATTCAAGTTGTTGGTTTCAATTCTTAAAAATGGATCAACGATAAATTGTTGTGTTAATCTGTACATATGCAGTTTTCACTTCCATCATCCCTCACTGAAAACAATGAAGAGTAGTATTGCAACATTGTTACCTTATCTCTTATTGTTGTTTCATTCGAAATATTATTCTTTTCATCTTTCTTCCAGCCATCTTGTCCTTGTGGAAACAACAAAACATAACACAGCGGTTCTAAAAGAACATTTAAAATATTGATATTTCTCAATTCTTCTAGATGCTCAAAATTAGCTTTTTTATAAACAATAATATTGCGATGGAGTGGTATTTCACTTTCATTTGTATCTCTTGTGAATATCGCTCCAATTTCTGAAGCTGTCGGTGCATTATAACGATGACTATCTCTATCTTCGTTTCTATAAAAAACCAAGCGAATGTTTTCATTTGTTGGATTAGTTTCGATGACATGTCGCATGTTTATATAATTTGTGGCAATCACATTGTTTCTTCTTATGTATTCATCAATTTGTTTTATAATAGTTTCATTGCATTTTTTGTATACTTACTGCTTTTTCTGGAAACATTGGCTTCATCTGCATCCAAAAAATACAACTGCCCAAATGTGGGATTCCCGTTGGTAGGAAGTGCATTAGAAATATTATGATAAAAATTACCTTGAACAATAAAACTACTCGTGTGCCCCATATTTGGAATATTTGCACCAAATGAAGCGAAAGAGAGTGAAGAATTGATAACGCGAATGTTTTCCTTGAAATTTTCATGATAATTGTTGTTTACGTCGAGGAGATCTTTTATTATTGGTGGGTAGTATAGATCAGTCTTTGGTTCAATTTTTCTGTAATGACAACAATTGTAATAAAGGTTTGGATGATGTTTATTTCTTCTTTCACATTCGAAATGCAATGCTTTACAGAAAACACATTTGGTTGTGATTTTTCCCAAATATAATACGGTTGTATTACTAATTGTATTTTTAACAGCTAAAAGACATGGTGATCTTTTTGTTTTTGTATAACAATGTTGCTTAATTTTATTTGTATTTTTTAATATCATTGAAGTATTTTTCTTTGTCTCATGTCCTCTCTTCTTTTTTGAGTTTCTTCATCTGTCTCCATCATCACACTAACGGCTTGTCGTTGTTCAAATATACTAATTTTTGATATTTTTATTGTTTTTTTATTTAATAAATTGTTATTTTTTCTTTCCCATATACGTTTTTTGATGTTTTCCATCTCTTTTTTATTTAAAAAATGCACTTTTCTTCCAATTCCAACTTGTGAAATGTATTTAATAAATTGAAAAAGTGTTTTTGTGTGGATTGCTTTTTTTCTTTCAATAATATCAAATACTAATGTCTTTAAATTTGTATTTGAATTTTCTAACTTTTTGATATCATTACATGTACCAAAGCGTTTTATGAAATATACACAATCCTTTAAAGTGATTTGAGAAAAGTAAAAGTCTTTGTAATAATCAGATGCCATTACTTGTTATTGTTTTTATCAAATGTCAGTTCTGTTTTATTGAACTAAAATAAAGTTTAATTATTGTTTAAAATATGTTTTTCTGTGGAACTAAACTCTGATAAAACGACAGTTAGTCCAATTGTTAACTATCGTTTCTTAAACAGTATCACAATTTACCATTATATTTAGTATAATTAACCATAAATATAGAACACGCTTAATAGTATAAAACCAATAAGAATAGTAACTGTAAATAAATAAATAATTATACCGATTTTTCTATTATATATAAGGGGATATAAGGGGATAATATTTTTTTTCAATTATAACATTTTTGTATTAAATTTCAATTATTAACTTTAGTTGAAATGATTATTATTTTAAAGAGTATTTTGTCTTACATATTTTTTCTTTATTATTTTTTCCTTCCCCCATTGGATCGTTTCCATAAACAAAATCATTATGACACATGATATCATTAAAAGTGGTCTGTTTCTCATCTAAGTTTGTTTCAAGAATAAATAGTTTTTGATAAACAATACCCTTTGGTGTTTGTGTTATGTCCATCACAAAGGTTGTAGCAGTGTTAGGATGTGCCGTTTCATCTGGAGAAGATGAATTGTTGTGCTCCTCATTGATACCATCATCGTTGTAAGTGTTTATCATGATGTTTGGATTTTGTTCACAGATTTGTTGTGAAACAAAGTGTGGCTCATTTATTGCAGGTTGTTGAATTGTTAATTCTCTGGATATTGCTTGAAGAACCATATTAACATCTTTTATCATTTTATTATATTTGATGTGTTTACTCCTGTGGTGATCAACGCATCTTTGGCTCTCATCAATTGGAACTTTGGCGTGTTTTTGATTTTCTTGTAATTTGAGTTCATTAAGGAGTTTAGAGACAAATAATTTAGTATATTAAAGTAGTTAAATGCGAAGTTTTGGAGCCTTTCCTTAATTGCACAAAAGACGTTCTCGTCTTTGTGAAGACGATTGTTGTAATGCTCTTTTAGAGCATCTCGCAGAAATTTTTAACAAAAACATATTAATTCAAGCCATTTACAAACCCATCGGGTTCATCTTAAATGAAGTACTGGAACTCTGGAGTATTACCAAAAGAAATACATTTCCTTGAAACTCTTTTTTGTGAGAGTCGTGGTTTAGGCATTTAATGGTTATATTGCGTTTGTGGTTAATTACACTTAACACAAACACATAATAAAACCCTTATTTATTTATGTATGTTTTTTTATTAATATGATTTTATTCGTTTTTTTTAATTATCTTTTGTCCAAAAAGTACCATAGAGATATAATTACTCACACCTTAATTGTTAATAATTTAAATATTAAATTCCATGTTTGTTTTAATATTTATATAAAACTTTATACAATTGTTCAACACAAAATATTTTGAAATTATAACGACATTTTCAGCTTTTTTATATTCACAGACTGGTACAATATAAATGTTTTTTGTGTAATTAAAGCTTGTCATTAATATACACGATAGCATTGGAACTGTTTGGCCTTATTGATTTATTTACATCTAATTGTATTGAATCAACCACACACCTCAAGCCCATTTTCGTCACACTTCCCAATCCCAACTGAATATGCTGAGTTTAATGATTGGTCAAAAATATTCCGGCTGACTGCCACATAGAAAGTTCATTCTTGATTTCTCAAAGCAAGTGGAGATGAATCCAATGTTGTACAATTTAAAAGTCTTCAACAATGTTTTGTTGCTATCATTTTATATAAGTTGTAATAGCCTGATGTCATCTCGGCTGCGCGACTGTTGTCAGTCTACGACCAATGTACTTTATTGATTTTCCTTTCAAGTGCCAAATTGTTACCAAAGACTCTTTTCACTACAGACAACACTTAGTTAATGTGGCTCGATAAAAAGTCGAATTACCATTATTGAAATGACTTTTTATATTCGCTCTGGTAGTTGTCGTTTCCATTTCCAAAAATCAGTTGATGTTGGTGAACTGAATTGACCAGCGTTAGTTGGGTTGTGCCCCACTCATAGTCAACTGATGCTGTTGACAGTTTTTTCAAAATTCTTTAGTGACTTGCTGTTACTGCACTGGAACTCTCCAATACAACAACTCCAGTTATTCAGTGAACACGACGAGTGTCTCGTCTTACCTCATATTCCTATACCACAACTTAAATTTTATTATTTATTTAATGTTGATGCCGTTCTGGAAGTTTTGCATTTATGACGCTATGAACTCCATGTAGATTTTATTTGGGGTTCTGTATTTAAAGATGCTTTGGTCATCATTAGCTATTTAAATATACTTCGCAATGTTGTTTTCAATATCTTAAAAGAAAGCGTCATTGAAAACGCCGGTGTTTCTCACCCACTTCTGAATTTCAATTGTCATAGTTTAAGACTTTACCACTATTTTTGTATAATAACATCACTATTTAGCCATCTTAATAATGGAGACAATCTTTTTACAATACTAATAACAAGTGTTCAAGTAATTAGTCTTTGGCGAAGTTTCAACTAGTCTCACCCAAACAACATAACAGTTGACACCCAATAAATTTCTACATACTTAACCACCACTTAACCGTGTACAGTTTCAAGTTGTATCGTATGCAGTTTACAATTTCATACAACGAAAAAATCATTAAAAATGACCTAATATAATAATAATATTTGTTCATAATCTTATTATATGTTTTCAATATATTGTCAATTTAAACAATAAAACTTGTTGCTAATGGTAAATTGTATAGAGTTTAGTCAACACAATATATGAAATTCGATGTGCATGATAATGAAAGGTATGTTTACTATTTTTATATTTTTAAATAAATTTATTTTGTGTTTTTTGTAACTGTCTTTAATTTAAAACTTAAAAAACATCGTTTTTTTCTTTTAAAAATTATTTTTTATTTTTATTTTTAATAATAATAATAAAGTCGACCAGAAAATTGTCGTACACCAGAAAATACTCGTACACTTCCTAAAATAGAATTTATTTTTTTAAAAAAGATTTTTACTCGAAGAAATTTCATTTTTCACTTTGATTTTTTAAACTGATTCTTTTATATTCTTTATTCTTCAAAATGATGCTTTAAATCATTTTTGATGTATTTTTTTGTTCTTTTTCACGAAATAAAATTCTTCGAAAATTTAAATGTTGTCAAGATTATCATTTTTTATAAATAATTTTTTGTTATTCTCTAATTATTGTTATTTAGAAGTATAGTTCGGTATAGTTTGAATAGTTTATAACAATGTCCAATATTTTTCGAAATGTATTTTTTAAACAAAGTTCATAAAAATAGAACACCATTGATACCACCATATCTACTCAACTCAACGTTCATATCGCTAATTAACAACGGGTGCTCGTCTTTCAACAAATTTTTAGCATTACAAATGTGGCAATTAATTTGGTTAACCACTTAATCAAAAAATTGGAGTATGAACTTGTTATTTTTTTCAAAGTTCGTTTTTTGATGTTTTTATCTAAAGTAATTTAAATATAAATGTTTTAATTACAAAACACACAAAAGTGTCTACCGAACAATGTTTGTTCGATGACTAAACTATAACAATAGATGTGTAAAGCTAATATGAACTGTTTTTCATCATCAATATTTAAAAAAAACACAAGACCAAACCGGCAATTTTTAATCACTGTAAAAAAATTCGAAGTAAAAACCCGAATTTGTTCTGTAATTAAAGCTTAAAAATAATACGTTTCTTTAAGTTATTAAAATGAATGATATTTACAACTGTTAAAATTATTACATGTTATAAAAATTTATAATTCCCGATTTTTTAGTTAAATCCTAATCAAAATAACAAAACTGATGATTTAATAAAACACAATCCAATAAAACCTAATCGAAATGGAGTTTCCTAAGAACAAAGCTAGAAGACGTCTCGCGAAAAAGTATTGAACATCGATTCAATCAAAATTTACAAGAAAGCTCAGCCAATAGATAACCTTGTTGAAATTGTTATGAAACATGAAAAAGAATTAATTGCATGTGTTTATTTGTTTGAACAATTGTCAATAATTAAAGAATTTTCCAAAGGTTATAGAATATCAATACAACGAAAAGCAGACCTTTTTGGTGTTTCACGTAGCACCATAAAAGACAACGAAAGTTATAATGGTAATGAAATAAGTAACGTGGGGAGAGTATCGAAATTGACAGAATTAGAAGTGCTTGTCATTTCTAATTCAATTCGCGAAAAACAAAACACACCAGAACCAATGACACTTGGCAACATATGTCAATTTGTTGAAACACTTGTTAGGAAAACCATACATAAACAGACTATACTGGGCCACCTCCAACAAAATGGTTTTACAACCAAACATATCTTTCCACAGGAAGCTGAACGTGCCCAGCTTAATCCAGAATTGTTGAAAGAATACGAAGAACGCGCCCACCAACTTCTCAACAACACCGTTAAGTATGCAGGTTCCAGATGTATACACTTGGATGGTGTTTTACCAAAACTGTTGCTCAATATTGATGAAAGTGGTTTCATTCCCTTTACTGACGAGAAGGGGGCACACAGTATTATTGACCCAAATGCTCCATTTAACAAGTATTACAAGGTAGATAGAGGTATCAGGAGAGTCACACTTCTTGCTGGAATATTTGCAGATGGAACAACATTGAAGCCCCTTCTCGTCGTTTCCCGTAAAACAATTGATAACGAGTTGAGTGAGTACGTCGAAATGGACAATGTTTTGATCGTTTACCAAGAAAATGGGTTCATCAACACCCGTATCTATCAATTGTGGCAACAGTATTGTCTTGGTCCCGAGCTTGATATTCGGAGAAAGAACTGCCCCAATGAATGGGCAGTTATTGTCCAAGACAACTTCATTGTTCATGTCCATGATGAGTGCCACCAATGGTTTGTTGAAAATAAAGTTGCCGAGCTTAACCTTTGTCCTCATAGTAGACATTTGAGCCAACCACTTGATGTTGTTGTGTTTGGTTCTCAAAAGGTTTGTATTGTTTGTATTTTTGTAGGTCTGTTATTATTATAACATTTAATAGTTAGTAATTTGTAATAATTATAACAAAGTATTTATTTATAGAAACTGATTGAATAAAAAGAAGTCAGTAAAGTTGCCAAAGAAAAAGTTGGTAATTCAATCATTTTGAAAGAAGGAGAAGTCACCGAAGTCAAAAAGGGTGTTAAATCAAAAGAACACAGAGATGTAATTGATGGCCTCTACAATCACAAAGAACTTCGCCCATCAATAATTGAGGAGCTGAGAACAAGCTCGCTTACCAAACAAATTGTGTCAATAATTGCTTCTTTTAACAAAGCTACAAGTTCAAAGAATATCCTTGCATCTTTTCATGTTTGTGGCTTTGTTAAAAAGCAAATGCAAGTCACAAAAAGTACATCCAAAACAGAGTATGAATACAGAATATTCTACAACCCAGAACACGCTAGACACATCAGAGTTTTTTCAATGAACCATACTCGGTTGTAACCGAGCACTTTGTTGGAAGACTTTCGGTTGATTTGAAGGATGTGGAAGCTCGACTTAAGAGAAAAAATGAAACTATTTCTCTGGCCAAAAAGTAATTTACTCAAGTTTTGAGTTCCATTTTTTATAGTTCTGGTAATAAAAAAATATGTTTATTGTAATTAAGAGTTGTTTAACTAATGCCAAAAGTACAATATATTGAAGATAATAGAACAATACAATATTAAATATATTTAGACGGTTTTATCTGAATATATTTTGGCAACTCATTGTGTATTGCAAGTAATTTGACAGAATTTGGATAATAAACAATCATCAATATCGCAAAGACAAAGATTGCAATAACTTAATGAATATAAATATTTTAACCAATCTGAAGCTCCAAAGTTTTAAGAAAAAGAATATATGAGAGAATACGTAAAATATGAAAAACTGATCAAAAATACCAATTGTTAAGTTAATAAACAGTGTTATTTAAAATAACAAAAAAACTATATTCAAATTTAAATAATAAATTTTTATTATTACATTAATGATTAAATTTCTTGTAAAATATAGTTTGTTTTTTTGTAAAAAGTATATAATTTTGTGGCTCATTTAACGGTTAACTATTTTAGATATTATTATTAATTAAGTGTTAGTTTAAATTGATTATAACCCCATAATACTATATTTTGATTGTGACATTATTCAAAAGACAATGAAATTCAGTATTTATAATTGAAAGATTCTTAAGGGTGTTTGGTTTGTTTTAAGTTAATGTGTTTCAATAATCTAATATAATAATTAAAAATTTCTAATAAACCATGGTTGTTAATCATCTAGTTTGATAATAAAAAAATAAAAGTAAATAAATACATGTAAAAATCAGTGATTAAAATAATAACAATCTTCAAACATATACAATCAATAATTATATATTTAATTATTTTTGATACAAAACTCGTTTAATTAACACTGTTTTTTATGTAAAGTGG